AAGCTTTGGTTCTCCATTGCTTCTAACTAAACTATATTTGAGTCTCACAATAGATTCACGATGCAGAGATTATCCACTAAGCATTGCAATTGTTTGAGCGCAAAGTAAGGACATGTGTAGACATGACTCTCTATTTGTTCACCGGAACGCCTATCGCCTATATTTAACTCTTCAACAAGAGTTTTGTGTTCCGAGACTAGAACAGCGGAGACATCGGCGTGCGCTCCGAAGCGCTAGACGTGTTCACCTGTTTGGCCAAATGTATCTCGACTTAAACACAAGTTCTCCCATTTTTTGTTTGGTTTTTTTTAAAGGAGAAAAAGCGGTGTACCAAACTGAGCAGCAGTTCTGGCCAAACGCAGCAAACGAGAAAAACACATAAATTGATTTAAAAAAAAAAAAAAAAAAAACACTCGCACACATATTCATCTTGGCACATCAAAGGGATTCATTGATGTCACTGAACATGGGGAGTCTGCGGCTGGAGAGGGGAGATGTTGGTTATCCTTTCCTCAAAGGGTGCTGAGATGCTCCTGATGGGCCCCGCGCTCGAGAAGCCAGAGAACGCTATAAACAGAATTTCTAATGTCAGGCGGGCGAGTGGGTGGGTTAGGTAGTGAACCAGCAGGCTATGGGGTAGCGGGAGGAATTGACGCCAGCTCATGCTTTCCACAGAGATTAGAGAGAGAAGGATAGAGACCAGGACTGACACCATTTCACACAGTTGTGTGTGAGGGATGGTAGGAAGAAAGCATCCGTGGGCTGAAAATCAAATGCCAGATGCATGCATCCCCCCCCCAAAAAAAAAAGATTTGCATGTGACACTGCTGGAGATGGTATAAAGTTATAACATCTACTGATTTGTTGGTTAGTTTCTGTGTAAATTGGAACATTTGCAACATATTATTAGCTGCACTGGTTTGTGTTGCACTAATTAGAACTGACCTTGATTACCCCTGTGCAATATAAAAGCTAATTGCTGAGAAATACAGCCGTGAAATATGTACCAATTCACACATTATGTGGAAACTGAGAATGTAAACATCTCTCCCCTTCTTCTGCAACTAAATCACGATTGTTTTTCAATTCCTTTAAGTCCGAGCAGAGGGTTCATTATCAAAATGACTCCAGGCGAGAGCTCCCAGCCAGTGATGGCATTTCTGCGGGCGATCGAGATCTCCTTCTAATTGGATAGTGCCACCAAATTGATGTAGATGTGTTTGCCTTTGAAGGGAAAAAAAATCCTTTAAAAACTATAAACCTAGTCAAAAATGTTAGCTGTGTTGACACAGCGCTTGGGTATAAAAATATTTGCACGCCAACATTCAGGAATACAACACTGAGCGTTGTGAGAATGTGAGCGCCCCGTACACTGTTCCCTCTGTTGCAAAATATCCACACAGCATCACCTGAACGCCCCCACTCCCCCAACCCTCCTGACGCTCACAGGCTCTGCACAGACAAACGTGCAGCACGCATGGTTGCATGTTTGCTCATTCACACACACACACACACACATGCAGCAAGGTGAGTGAAATGCCAAGTGAGCCACCTGATGAAAAGACATCTCCACACAAACAGGCTTTGCTTATGCAGGGAGAGGCCCTTTTATTCAGCGGGACAATGTCTGTGTTGACTTTTCTTTGTCTGCACATTTTAAGCACCAAAAGCACCAGAAAGAATTGAGGGGGGGTGGCGGCGGTGGTGGTGAGAGCCAATGCGGCATGCAATCGTAGCCACTGACATGTCCAGACTTATACAAGCTCTCCATTCATATCTCGATCTCAAACCATTTTCTATTCAACAATCATGCTCGGGAGTTCGAGTGTCCCACCGTGTATTTGATGAAGATATGTTTGAGCGGCTAACCTCGCTCACACTCTCTCGCCACCTCTCACACACAAGAGGCATTTCGCTCGTCGGCGAGGATGATGGTGATGTAGTGGCCGAGTTATCTAAAAGTGCTGATGAAGGCAACAAGGGGCGGTGGCGTGGAGCGGAGTGCGTGTTTCGCCAAGTTAAATCTGACAGTCTTCGATCACAATGCAAATCAGTGAATTGGCAAACATTTAGCTGGATTTGTGCTGATAACTTTGATAAAGAGGGGTAAAAAAACAAAACAAAAATTTTAAAAAACAAATGCTCCGGTCCTGCGCCCCACAGCAGGCAGAGGTCTGGTGGAACATCTCTGCAAACATAAAACCTCCTCCTCAGCTCTCAGTGGATTACAGCGGAATGTCAGCTCAGAGCAGGCTTTAAATCAGTTATGCTTGGCCCTCAGGGGAACTCTGTGCTGATCCCATGTAGGCCTGTCTCTCATTGCTCATGATAGGGTTGCCACATCCCAATTTTTTTTTTTTTTTAAGTTAGGGGCTCAAAACCTTCAAGACTGCAGAGTAAAATTACTGCATGACAACTCTTGAGCAACACCTCACGTCTATTATATGCACTGAATGCACATGCAGCATTACTACACAAAAGCAGCTGGTTGGGAGAGCACAAGTAGGAGTTATAAATAGTTTCATGCAAATGTGAAAATGAATGTCTTGCATACATACAAAACTAAAAAAAACAAACATTTACATTACGCTCAAAGGTATCAAGCTGCCTAGTCTGCACCAGGAAATGGAAACGGTGGATTTTGTTGCCTGGCACTAATCACACGATCTGTGTGAGAGACGCAACTTTAATGCGTCTCATGCAGCACAAGTACAACCGCGTACTGCTGGGCGCTTGTAAAACAAATGTGGCAGTTCCAGCAGCAGGGCGTTCCAAGCTGCACAACATCATAAAAGTATTTGCGGGCACCAGGATGGTTTTTATGTCAAGACGGGAGAGGTGACAAAACAAATTCATTTGCCCTGTAGGAAGAAATTTAATCTCACTAGCCTATCTGCATATTCCACAGAATGATTATTCGTGATAAGCGTTACTGCAGAGCTCATCATGTGTGTAAAATGTGTGATAAATATTATTCTGTAAACCTATCTGCACTAAACTTGATCCACAGGTGTAAATAAACCAGACTCTCGCGATGAGAGGTGAAAAAAAAAGAAAAATGTTGAGCCTTTCCCCAATCACATTCACGACATTTAAGCCACGAAGCCAGTCCAAAGCCCAGTACAATATGGAGACCTTAAGACGACCGCTAAGTATGCCAGCTATTGTCTGCCTGCTTGTTTTCTGCCACAGTGATGATTGACACAGTCAGCCCACTTTGTCCTATTGACCCCATTCTTTTTTTTTCTTCAAATATAGAGGATTATACCTCAGAATTTAAAATCCCCTGTAATTATTTGTTACTTTGCCACAAGCAATAAGCTGTATTAATTTTCCGCTCTTGTTTTCCTAGAGAAAATACCAGGAAGAGAGGCATTCATACCAGACACGCATGACAAAACAAAGCAAGGGACGAGATAACAGAGTTGAAGCCGTTAGGTTTGTTTCTTAATTACACCAAATACACCTACCACAGTTTCCTTTGGGGGGAATAAACGTATTCTAATGCACTTCTATTCGAGCACGTTTATCTCTTGGGTTGTGACGTCACTCCTCGGAAAGTCTGGTGGCCAAAACCAACAACATAGACAAACTACAAGATAGCGTGCATCACATGGAGTGAGGAGAGTAGCCATTTAGTTAATGAGCCCCAATGGAGACCTCCAATGAAGCCATCAAGACTGCTCAGAATAACAATGGTCAACTAACGCCTTTCTAATTGAATGGAAGGTACAGGGAGGCAAGGGGAGTGGGCAAGGAACAGTGAAAAGGATAAAGGGGGAGGGAAGGGGGGCTGGGTCTTTTCAGTCAGATGCCTGCCAGGCCTTAACGAAAGTACTTGTTTTGTTTTTTTTTTCCTTTTTTTGGGGTGGGGGGTGACATGGCTTGGGGGATGGACAATCTCAAGAAAAACAGAGCTCACAAGCAGAGATTATTTCAAGGAAGTTTGTGCAGCACCAATTACATTGCATTTAACAGTCTCCCGATTCCAAATATTAAACTACCTAAAATGTGTGTCTGTTTGACCTTAAGTGTCCACAGCATTACTAACTGGCTACCCACTGCTGTGTGAAAATGTCATGTTTGAAGCCAAGCACTGCAAAAAAAGAAAAATTGCAACAACAACAACAAAGAAGCAGCAACCAAACCAATAATCAGTATTAAACACTATAAAATGTTTACAACTTCACAAGCTGGGAATGCCTCAATGCAACAGGTTAAATGACACACTCCAAACTCTGCATCAGCAACACTTGCTTAAGACTGTCAACCTTATCTGGACATTTAAAGTCTCTGGACAGCGTCTGTCGGGGGACACAGTGCAGTGAAATGCCTCCCGTGTGTGTCAGAGTGAGGTATTACATTGTTGTTACTGTAGGATATGACCTGACCAACAGCCTTTTCCCCCCTTTTGCAGAGTAGCTTTTAATATGCAGGCCAACAGAAGGATTTGATAGGCCTGCCTATCAAAAGAAATGCCACTGAAGCTAAAAACACTAGAAAGAAATGTGGTGCAAGTAAAAACAACACGAGAATATCTTGCGATTCTAAAATGGCATTTTAGAAGGAACAGCAGCCTCTGCACTGCAAAATACAAGTCCCTGGAATAACAGCACTTTAGATAACATCAGCTTTAGTAAGGCGAGGCCACTATTAAGTATATAATGAAGACCCAGTGTGAAGCTGCAGCACAGTTTTTGTAAGGGACTGTCAAAGTTGCTCCTTATTTTCAAAAAGACTGAGCAACGTGTCTGAGGTTTCCATCTGAATAAGAAGTTCTCATATGCGAGCCTTTGCGAGGGGTGGGTGGCAGGGAGAATTTTATATCCCCAAAAAGAACAAAGAAGTAGTTAGTACTCCTTGAGAGGCCACTCGGAGGGAATATGGCGGTCTGAGTTGTGCACAAGGAACTTTTACGCACGGCCAAAGTTTTTTGCAGAGTAAGAGGGAACAAAGAAAAGAGAGCAAGGGGAGGGAAACACATCCGCAGAGACACTTACTGTTCTTGCACTGGGAGACAGCGAACCATTAGAAAGGTATGGATTGGTGAGGTCTGGGATCATGAGAAACGGGTAGCCAGGATAGTGTGGACTCTTAAAAAAGCCACCATCTTGCTGTCTTCTCAGTGCTGCAGGGATAAAGAAAATGGTTAAGCAAGACACAACAATTACCAGTTGCACTATGCAAAAGACCCAGAGTTCCTTTTTATTATTATCATCATTATTATTATTACTGTTATCATTACCTTCGCTGAAGTAGTCTCTTGTTTTCTCATAACTTTCTGAGTCGGGTCTGGTTTGGGGGCGCCTCTCTGCTTGCTACAACGGACATTAGACACAGACGGAGGAGGAGGGGGGAAACTAGTGAAACTTTCAGCGCTATTAAATCCCATTTCTTTTAATGCTGAGCCCCGCGGAGAGCACTTAAAATGTGCTCTGCACTTACCTCCGAGTCTGATGAGCTGCTATTGTTTTCCGACTCGTTCACTAAGGAGGATTTCACATCATCCAAATCCCTTTCCGCTGACACATTTTCGGAGATCTTTTCCTCCTGCTCCCCTTCGTCTTTAAACGATATCATTTCATCGTTGGCCCCCAAATCGTCCCCACCACCTCCGTTTAACTGTGGCATTTTCGCAGACGAGTGGAGAGTATCAAGGAGGACGAAAAACAAACGCAACAATTGACCTTTTCTTCTTTTTTTTCTTTCTTTATCTGATCAGCGTAGTCCAAGCGAACCACTGGAGCAGTAAACTACAAGAAAATGTTCATATTTTAAAACTCCTTTTTCATCCTCTGAACTTGATCCCGTGCGCCATGTCGAGCCTTGAGTTAATAATCCACAATTAAAAGTTTGCAACAGCGACAGAAAAAATCGATGAAAGCTTGGCGTCGGTGGCCGGATGCGCCGCAAACTTGGCAAAGTTTCGTCTCCTTCGCAGGTTGTGGACAACTTACGGTCCCTGCGTGTCTCTACTTTTTGTGCCGCTGAGGAATGGGACTTTCTTTCCTCCTACAAGAGTCCGGAGACCACATAAACTACAGCACGCGCGACAGCGAGGTTATTCAAGAACGAGCAACACGTCCGATTTCATCTCCTAATATCCATGCGTAAGAGAACAACTGCTCAAGTTTTTTTTTAAAAAGAAGAAAAAAATGAGGAAAGAAAAGGGGAAAAAAACAACAACGACACGGGCTGCAGTTTTCTCCACTTCGGACTCGCTTGCTTTCCCCGAGAACCGACAATTTGTTATGTGGGCCCCCAACGTAAACAAAGTTCATAACTAGAAAAAGAGAAATAACAAAAGACGTGTAAAAGTATAAAAAAACAAAAGGTTCAGCTGGACGTGCTCGCCCTTTCCCTCCACATTGCTGCCGGGGAATGCGCTCTGAAAACTACTTGGTTGTTCAAGTGGAAGAAAAGCGCAAGCCCGTCCGTAGAGGAGGAGTTTGCGCTGAAAACCGACACTTCATTCACCGCCGTGTAGGCTACATCAGCTATTCTTAACCCTAAAGCCACCAATGCGCAGTCTCCATACAGACCATGAAGTGATGAGGGGGGGCATTTTAACTGGAGGGCTGCGTGACCACAAATAAATCACCACCCCAATATATTATTATTATTATTATTATTATTATTATTAATAATAATAATAATAATAATTACGAGACAAATTACGAGGTGGACTCGCTTTGTTTTAAACATGCGAATAAAGCACAAACAGCGCGTCACCCTAATCGCCTTTTAATAGTTTAAGTAAACACCAGCAGCAGTCTATCGTGTGACGCGACCAGATGATATTCCCAGTATTGTTCAGGTAAGCAGCAGAGACCACGCCGCCTCCATCAGGGAAGGAGGAAATAACAGGCCAGCTTTTAGTGACAAACTCGTAATTACACGCTTCTATTTAAATTGCACGTCTGCGCTGCCCTGAAACAATAAAGCGCAATAACACCCGGGATAAAGCACGGCCTATTACGGCACAGCTACCAGGCATGACAGTGAGGCAACAAGGCTCTGAACATCCAGGCCTCCTGTGACATGCCTGGCTCACTTCTCTCTCTCTCTCTCTCTCTCTCTCTCTCAAGCACATTGCCCCATTGTTGATTTGAGGAACAGGACTGGAGCCTGGTTTTGCAAGCTTTGGAAGAACAAGGGAAGTGGTTACATTTTTTTGAAAAGATATGAAGTAACCTCCTCACAAATCTTAAACACGGGGATGAATTTTAAATCCACGACAAATGAAATGAGCTGAGTTTGTTTTGTTTTTCTCGCAAAGTATGGAGAGTTGCTAAAGTTATCCAGAGGTGCAACACACTTAGGAAAGTGGTTTCATTCTTCAGGAGCTTTTTCTTTCTTTATGCCTCACGTTATCTTGGCATTTCTTATTCCAAGTCCAGCGGACCTCAGACTTTTCCTGACTTCTGATGCAATTCGACATTCTTCGCTTGCTTGTGAAAAGCAGTCACTGATGTTGTTGACTGTGTGTCAGCAAGCTGAAGGCTGACTGACAATTCAGCAGTGTTGTCTCCACGGGCCTCATTAGATCCCCAGATTCCTACTGAGTGTTTGTGTATGTGCTTGTCAGTGTGTGTGTGGGTGTGTGTGTGTGTGTATTTGTATTCGGTTAAAAGCAACATATACTGTAGTTGCATACTGCACCTAGTGCACTTGCACACACACACACACACACACACACACACACACACACACACACACACACACACACACACACAGGTGAGTATTTGCCCTCAGGGCTACAGATCCTTGCTTTTTTTTAAAGGGGTGGAAAATGTAGGAGGCTACAGTATGCAGAAAAAAGTATGAGTGAATTTTCCAAATTGTGCTTCGGTTAGTTGATGATTTTGTTTATCCGAAGTCTGTTTCGCAGCCTTTTAGTCACACCCTTTGTTTCTGGTGTGCATATTTCTATACCCCTTCTCAAAAAAAAAAAAACCTAAAGTGGAGGAAAAATACAGATTTCTCCCCCTTAAAGATATTACGTGTCAAAGATGCAATAGACTATGCATGTCCCAGCAGGTGTAATTACAATAATTCAACACTTGTGCCCCATAGCCTTATGAATGATTAATAAAGAAATCAAATATTAAAACAAGTCAACACAGAAAAATAATAATGACATGCATAAGCAGTTGCCCAACAGGAGTATCTCTTAAATAATGACAACCTTACACACACACACACACACACACACACACACACACACACACACACACACACACACACACACACACACACACACAATAGTTGAAGCAAGCATGATAATAAAGCAAACTCGGTCAAACTGTGGACAGCATCGAGTATATTTGCAAGATGATAAACGTCAGCTATCTTTAATATGTTTTGTGATAGTGCCAAGGCCTTCATGCTGATTTGTTCACCACTATCTCTCTTTTTGTTCTTTTCCTTTTTGCGAAATTCTAACAATCCAGCTTTGATAAAAATTAATTTCTTCACACCCTCAGCACCTGAAAGCAGATTTAATCTCTCTGACTTTAACCTATGGATCCCCGTTTCTCCGTACGACTGCCTCGTTGGAGCGGGATCGGTTTTAACTGAGAGCTGATGAGGGGTCAGGAGAGATGCGAACAGCCACAATCTTAGCCCGGGGGCAGATCAACTGGTGGCCAGAAAATTTATTCAGAGGGTGCTGTCCCTGCATCTGCCTTACTTTGAAGTTGCTCTCTCGACTCTGGCATGTCGTACGTGACTGCGTGTTCATTTTTTTTTAACCCCCCCTCCCCACTCTCACTAAAGAGAGTGTGAAAAAGCCGAGAGGGAGCAGTAGTGTACACATGTATGCGCTTCTGTCAGAGTAGGCTTATACTTGTGGTAGTTCGTGTGCGTGTGTGTGTGTATTTGACAGACATGAGAGTGGAGAGAGGAAAGCAGGGGAGGCGGGAGAGAGATGGAGAGATGCTGTGTGCCAATCCATACTCGCGCTGGAGAATTCAAGGTCATTCTTTCATGTTTTGCCAACCATCGGTCAATCAGTTCCCAATCAAAGTGGTGCTTAATTCAGCAGTAATTCCCATCTCCTTATTACGTTTTTTTTTTTCACCACAACCACTGCACCCCCCTCACTGTTTCAGAGGTGCTAAAGCATTTCCCCTGTCTTCTATCTGATCTGCTGCAGTGTGTCCAACATGCCCTGCCAGGCCAGGCTGTCAAGTTCTTTAATAATACCAGTTAAAGTGTGTGGAGGACATGTCAGATCACACAATGTGCTACCAGTGCTTCTATCTATCTCACTTCAGGAGATTTAGGGCTCATTTGATTGTCTCTGAAGCGTACCCAAGTCATGTTCTTCCATTAATCAGTTCAACCCTCCCCAATGTCTCCATCCATGTCTGTGTGTGTGTCTCTTACAGATTGAAACTGGAGCACAGAAAACTGTCCAACAGGAATCTGGAACAGTTATAATAGATGTGATGTTGTATCTTAATATTTGTGATTCCGAAATCCAAAGAAGATGCTTTGTTTACGCTGTGTAAAAACATGCCGCTGCCCATCTGCTGCCGAGCATTTTCACCCACGAAGAGAAAGCTTACAAATCACTCAGCGAGTGTCACTCACTCGAACCGCAGTGTGCAAAAATTAAGCATGCACCAACAGTTGCACATTGCAGAAGGATCAACAGACTTAAAAAAAAAAAAAAAACACTAAGCACTTCAGGATTTTTTTCTCCTTTTTTTCAAAGGGCAGGATCCAAAAGCAGATGAACTTGCACAACTCTTTTGCATCATCACTATGCTATATTAGCTCACCTCCTCAGTCATCACGCTAAGTCTAGATGGGAGTGCCTCGTGCAATCATGGATCTCACAAAAATAACCTCATATCCGTTTTAATCCAGAGAAAGGTCCCCTTTCCAGGCTGGTATGGGCGTATATGGCATTTAAGACTGTGTGAGGATATGATTAGATGACAGTTTTTACTGCCTAAAGGGTGTAACTGAAACACTAAACTGTGCAGAGAGGGGAAAATAAAAGACTGTGTTGCAAAGTTTTATTCCTGCCCTTCTTCTTCTTTCTGGCGCTTTGTTGCATTTTTAGTATCCTTTTCAAGCAGAGTCCTGTTTTCAAGATGAGACAGAGTTTCCTGCCAAAAAAAAAGAAAAAAGAAAAAGCAATCAATCCTACCCTAATGAAACAACTGCTGACTCTGTTCATTTCTATATGATCGAGCTATAAACGATGACGGCAATGAGGCGCAGGCCAAATTAACATATTTTTCTAGCAAAGATAATAAACGTGCGACTAAATTAACTTTATAATGAGATATTCTCAAGAAGTATAAAAGATGATCAGACTTTAAAAAACATCAAACATGTCCAAGTCCTCCAGCTGAGATTTACATGGTCGCTAAGAAGTGCTCGCTCGCACCTCTTGTCTGAAAATCCATGTTCATGTTTTTCTGTATTGTGGAGGATGCTTTTAAGGAGCATTATTTCTGAGAACTTCAAAGCCTGCCAAAAGCACTCTCCTTTTGGAGTGTGCAGCAGCTTGAAAATGTACTTATATTTTCCAAATGGACAGGAAGAGGCCCTCACTGGTATTGAGGTGATGCTAATGCAGTGTGGCTCTAGTTTTTTTTTCTTCTTTGCTTTTTTTTTAGGTGTAACACAAAAATATAGCCCCATATTTAAAATAATAATATTGTTTTACACGACTGATTATATATAAATTTTAACAGCTTGAAGACAGATACACATTTATGTATTTTTTGCTTAGTCTACACAAACGCATATCCAACAATGCCTACAGATACACTGTTTACGTGTACAGTCCTACAATCTAGCTACTATAATCTGAGTCAGATTCTTTCCAGATGCTGCATTCAGGTTGCTTGATATTCCCTCCTTTTATTGATTCAGTTAACATTGCTGCATGCAAGGCCGCTGTTTTCTTGGCTTGGGACACACTGCACGGCTCCTCGGGGGGGAATGGGGAATAGTTCCCGTGATGTAAGCCCTGCCTGAGTAAAAGCCTGTTGACTTTATTTAATACATCCGCCAGATTTTTATGAGCATTACGCAAATGAAATGGTCTGCATTATGTGTGAACCATACGTTCCACAGAGGCATGCATGGCAGCAGACAGCTGGAAGTAACTTGAGCCCCTCGGTCACTTATCAGCCTTGGCATCCCTGCCATTTCCCATAGCCATCTTCAAGCCAGAAGAATCCAGCCATTGTTTTCATCTCTGTGGGCCCTGTGTTAACTCAGCAGCCCCTTGCTGATTGTTGCAGAGATATTAAAGAAAATGGTAGATTTGTCTTTGTCCGTATAACCCTGTCTTGTGATACCAAGTCCCCTATGTGTATGTGAGTGCATGAGTGTTTGTGTGCGCTGTGTGTGTGTGTGTGTGGTGGGGGCTTCTAGTCGATGCAGTTGTAGAGAGTAGCTGCACCTGCCCTGTATGTCAACAACAG